GCTGAAGGGTTTTTTTTTCCTCACTAGAATAAAAGCTGAGTTTACCCTAACAAGTTAAGCTGGCCAAAGACTTTTCCAAGCCGAAAGGTTCCACTTGCGTCCGTATAGCCAAATTCTCTTCCCTACCCCAGCAAGAAGTGGTCACATCCAAACTGGCTGTGGGAGAAGATCTGGCCCACAGTCTGCCCGGGCACTGCTCAGGAGAAGGCTTGTGGGCATGGGCCAGGACTGAGAAGGAGCACACCAACATCGATGTGCTATGGACAGTCCATACGGCCTCCTGACAGGGTGCCTGTTAGTTTGCAAGCATAGATGTAGCCAAGCTGTTTTACAGAGAAAGGGCTACACTTACCACATAAATGTTGTGGGTGTGAACCTCCTCCTGCCTTCCTTGATGTGCTGCTACTGCAGCCGTGTTCATATAATTCTTCCCATTTGACACAAATACTGATACCAATACTAAGATAAAGTCTAGCAATGGCTCATCTAGTCACTATACCAGGAACTGTGTAGTCATATTGTGAATGAGAGGTACTTCTACTAGAAATGTAAGGAATTTTTCAGAATTTACAAGAATGAGAATGAGGAGGCAGACTAAGAAACCTGTAAATCCAATGGCTGTGCCTCCACACCTGAAGCTAGGTGAACTTCCATCCCATAGCTCTAGAAGCTAATGCCATGACTGCATTTCTGTGACCCTTTCAAAAGTAAAGGAAAAGAAAGATATTTTTATGAAATTTGAAATTATTTATTTAGAAGACTATTTGTTTTTACCAAAAAGTATGTGAAGATCATAACTCTACTCATATCCTTTTTTAATTAAAAAAATCGTGTTCAAGTCTGCTGTCAGTTTTACAGAGTAAGGGGATTTTTTTGCCTTTCAAGATCTCAGAAATGTTTCCCACTCTGAAATCATGACATCCAGGAGGGAGATAATACCTGAATGAAACACTGAAAATTTTTAAGAGTTTGGAAATCTTCCCTGGGTAACCAGATTATTCAGACTAACTCTTCCAAGTAGATTTGAAGTCAGCAGCTCCACACTTTTCATCAAAAATATTATTATTTGACAACTCCCAGCTCAGGAACAGGTCTGCTTGGGAGGTATCACACTGTTCTTCTAAAGTTCTTCTTGCTCAAGAAAATGTTGAGTAGGTGTGCCATATGGCAAGTTCTGTGCTTTTGTGAATAAGGAATAAAGAAATTGATCAATATGCTCACTACTAACACACTCTGCTGATGCCATAACAACAAATTTGATTTGTGAAAATTTTATTATTATTTTAGCAGTGAAGACATTTGTTTATAGGAAATCGACAAAGATCATCAACTGTTATGAAACTGGCAAATCATTATCAGTGGTAATGATTTTTGTAATTGTGTGACTATGACATGAAAAATGTTTATCATCAGGCCACCTACTAGCCTGTTCTATAGCAATGTTTGAAAATCACATGGAAAGATCAGAAGGACAAGAAGATCACGTGTGCAGCTCTTCACATTATTATCATCTTCTTCATTTATTTGGTATTGCCACGTTAATTCTGAATGGACAAAATAATTTGAGTCCAATCATGTAAGACACATGGTGAGCCATTTTTGCTATGTTAATTGCAGTTCCTACTGCTCCACGAATTGTCTTTCTTCATTCAGATACCTACATGGAGCTCTAATAGAAGATAGATGTATTGGTATGTGTTCAGAAGGTACTTACCATACACCTCTGACGACCTACACTCTCTTAGACTCTCAATCCCTCCCCTCTGGTATTACTTTCTGAGCACTTTTAAACAGCAAACATGTAAAACAAAGACTGATAGGGAAACATTTCCTGTTATTTGCACAGTGAAAGAATTTTTCCCACTTTTCTCCCCCAAATTCAATACCCTTGAAGTCTCAGTCTGGTGTTACTCATTTCTACAGCTGTGGCAGGTTGTAAATTCTGATATAATGTTTAAAGACTAGAAAAAGGGATGGACAGCACTGTGTAGAGGAGCTCCGTTGCTACTCACTAGCATAGACAACCCAAGAGACATGAGGGTTAAAGGTCATATATTTACTTAAGTAAGATGAAGGCATTCAGAGGTGGGATTTTGTCATTGTCATAGTAATAAACACACCTGTTCTTCTGAGGACAAAGGCTGTAAAAACAATCCCAGCTACAAAAATGTGTGGAAGATATTTGGCTACATGGTATATTTTTAACTTCTCGCTGAGGTAAGAGGACCAAAGACACCGTTTTCTACTTACCTATTTTTGCAAGAGAGGCAAGGAGGATCCAGAGAGTAACTTCATAGGGAATTCGCACATAGTCATAGTCCACTGTGAAAACATGTATCCTTGTATCTTGTGAAGAGCCAACAGCCCCGCCGTGATCATATTCATAGTGAGGCAAGGAACTCTTGCTCGGGTTGGGCTCGTCCGCGTAAGCAGCAGCAGAACAGCATACTAGACTCCACAGAGACAGCAACCAGTTTGAAAGCTTTGCATGTGCAAGCGCGGCAGAGTCCATGTCTGGGGCTGTGACCGTTTTATTACAGACACAGCATCTAGTGCGTGCGTGAAGGTAAGCAACACTCACTCCTGTTGATGTGTACTGCTCATAGCCACGGCCGCTTCTTCCTCAGGGCTGCTTCATTTGCCTGTTATAAGTCATTTAAAAAGCCCTGATGTGCCTGTCCTGTTCCTTGTGTTACAGACGGACCCGGAGTTTGTGTGAAGATACCGGTTCTGCAGGTTCCTCCGACCCAGATAAGCCTTGGTCACAGTATCACCCTGTTAAGGAATAAAAAGCCCTTTCCAACTACATTATTTATCCAGCCATTCTGACTTCCCACAGTCAAAAAGAAAAATAAGCTGCAATGCACACCATTCAGGCAGCAAGTGCAGCACAAACAAATAGCATCAGCTGGGAGAGATGGTGGCACCCTGGGCAGGCAGGAGAACCTGCTCCGCACCTTCCTCTCCTGCCCTTACTCCCCGTCTGCCTCCCCAGCACAACCGGCACCTCAGGCACCACACTTGGCACTGCTCACTGGTCCTGTCTCACCTGGTAATGAAATGACTTGGTGTGTAAATAAATGGACTCTGCAGGGCTTACCGTAGGGACATCTGGTGGAGGACCATGCAAGTGACGTTCTTGTTTAGAAATGTGTTCTCTCTCGTAAATGCACGTATGTGACCTAGCACATTGTAACAATAGAAAAAGGAAGGTCTGACTCGCATGACATGCCCAAAACTGGATCTTGAGTCGTCTTGTATCTGACATTTGTGTTATTCATGCCTGCAAAGCATTTACTGGACAACCACATTATGCTACTCCAACACAACATTCACCCTTATGGAACATTTTTTTAAAATGTCATCCTCTTTTCTCCTCTGCAAAAACTACCAAGTTTAGTGTTAGGATAAGAAAGTGTGCAAACACAGCAGTGTTGATTAGAAGCTGCTAAAGCCTGTATTACACACATTAGAAGTGAGTAAATTTAATTTACTGACAAATTCTTCAAATTGCCCACTGATTTGGTTATGTTGGAAAACAGTGCAGACTAGTGAGAACAGAGATGTACCCCAGGACAACTAGCGCTGAGGACCCCACATCCACACTGCATGTGTTTGGCAGGTCAGCTGATCCCACAGACTCAAGATCCCTTCATGGGTTGACAATATCTTCCAGTTGACTTTCTGTGGAAAAGGAACCAGTGTGTACACCTGTGATGCTCTGTAGCGCAAAGCGAAAGGCAACAGGTGGTGACAACTGGGAAATTTGCTTCAAAAGCTTCTCATGATCTGAAATAAATCCCCAGTGCAGGTGCAACTGCAGTGTCAAAATTTTCTGTGGTACAGCCAGTGATGTTGTCTGATGTTCTGTTTCTATATGAGGCACTATATTCTGGTTCTGCCCCACAGCACCACCACCAGTGCCCCCACTGAAGGCTTTGAACTCAATACAAAGTTAGTTAGATAATGCTCAGGGTGCTTGCAAAAGGGCTGTTCTTTTTTCAGTGTACTCGTTCTGTTAACAGCAGTATTTCTTGAAGTCCTTTTCCAACAAGGAATCTGGCAGATGAGCTATTCAATGAGTATTATAAAACAAGGATCTGTTAACTTGAAGGCCAAATGAAGTCATCAGAACATCAGATCAGTGGCTCTTCTACTCTGATTTTCTCAACACTAACCATTGCATTTCACTTAGCTACAGCCATACACACACAGACTGCAAGATGCCTTGAGAGTAAATAATATGAACCCTGGAGAGTTAGCAGCTAGAGGACTGCAAGGGGAAGACTTCAGAGTCCCTGGAAGTCTACTAGGTGTGACAACTAGGATTTTGATTTACAACTGCAACACACCCATAATACCAACAGGTTCAGTGCGACCCACGAGTGACCAGCACCAGACAGGATCAGCAGTGTGCAGATGTGTCTGAGTGCGAAATATTTCACAGCTGGTAGGAAATAGGCTTCCACCTATTGCAGGAGGGATGCAGATGCCTGGGATCAGCCCTGACACAGGGATCCTTCTTTTCTCAACCCCTTTGGTGTACCCAGTTGTAGCAGTCTCCCACGGTACTGCCTTGGTGCTCCCACAGGAGAAAGTAACTCATTTAAAGAGTTTGGACTTGTCCCACTGGACTGTACAGGAAAATTAAACTGCAAGCTTACTCTGGAGTTCCCTTTTTTAATCTTTTTTCTAGAAAACAATCATAAAAATATTCTAGAAGAAATACAGTCTCAACATCACAGCAAAAGAATATAATAAATAATAATAATAAAAAAATAGTAATTTGTGAAATATAGCTCACATTCACAGTTGTGTGCAGTGTCACTTAGTTTTACTGCGAGGCTGCAGCACTGTCACACTGCAATCCTTCTCACTGTTGTGGAGTAAGCTATCGCTGACTGCAGTGACAGTCCACAGTGGTCAGCCGATGTAGAAAAGGTCTTCTACAATCACGTCACCATTCCGGAGCCTGCTGTCATCCATCTGTGAAATTTCTGCTATCGATATACTAGGCTGAATAACCTTTGGAAAAAGCCCTTTAGGCTGCAATTTCCCAATATCCTAGTAGTTTTCACTGGCATGTGGTAACGCATATATTTCCAAAACTTCTTGTTTGGAGCAGCAGAAACAGAAGACTTCCAGGTAAGGACTGGTAAAATCCGAAGAGCTTTCCTCACTACTGGAGGCAAAGTCTCTGGCTCTTGAAAAGCCTGGAACTTTATTAATACCAGTTTGATTTTTTTGTCTTCCAATGCACAGTTCACCGCTGCCTGCAGTTCAAAGATGCTTGGTCCGCTCACGTAGGCTGGACTCAAAATAATTATTGCTCGTCTGCTATGTTTAATAGCTGTAACAACTTCATCTGTGTATGCTGGAGAAGAAATGACAATCATTACTATATTCTATAATGGACTTTTAATCTTATCAGTTCCTTTATCAACAACTAAAACCCAGAAGTAAGGAAAACCAATAATTGGGATGCTGAGCAATCACATAATGCCTAGAAATGTGTTTGCTATCAGAGGGTACCGCAGCTGTTCTTGCGCAGCCTAGAGAACACAACTTCCTGCTCAGGAGGTGGAGGGCACAGCTGAGACCTCAACACATGTTGTTTCTGTTCAAACAGCGCCTCAAGGGACACTTGGACTTCTTGTTGTCTCTCCCAGGGATGGGTACTGAGGGTTTTCTAATTATTGCAGGCAGCACTGACTAAAGTTGCTCAGAAAGTAACTACTGAAATATTTGGGGTCTTCTTTTCAGAGAAGGTCGCTTTTTCAGGGAATGGAGTCTGTTTGCAAAGAAATTCTTGGACAAGAAGTTTTGTCTCAGCCTAGTAGTTCCCAGTGACCACACTCTAACATATTTATGCCTCAGGTGCAGAGGACAGATGTAAAGATCAAAACACGGTGAGATATGGGCAGAAACTCCAGTACCAAAATACATTATTTGCTGATCTGGTGCATAAGGTGTTTTTGGAACGTGAAAAACAAGCTTATAAAGAACTGAAGATTTTCTGCCATCCACATGGACCTTACCTCCTCCTGGAAGAATATCTCTTTCAAGAATGCATAACTTGTATCCATATTTATTTTCCAGCATATCTGGAAGAAGCTCCAGGGCGAATCTTTCCTCACTAATTAGAGTAGAGTCAATTTCAGAAGAGTCTAATTTTGCATAGGACACAAACGCATCAAATTCTTTACCATCTAAAATAAATAAATAAATAACACTGTATACATTAACAAGTCTGTCTGAAGCATTCAGCTTCTTTCTTTAATACTCAGTTTCCATTTATATCTATTTAAGTAGGTGCAACACAAACCTAAAATTGTCACCTGTTCATGAAGTACAGCCATCCAGTTACACAAAGCCAACCCTTACGCCTCACTGCCTTGCAAATTTTGTAGACATACACTACCAAAGCAAACGAGGAAGCTTCAGATGACTAGTGCAAGGAAGTTCAAATCAGGCATTTTTCTGCATTTTCACAAACATGGTCCAGTTTTCACCAGTGGAAGATCTGGTCCCTTCCAGGCAAAATCCCTATTGTGGGGAATGATTCCCAGTCTTTTCTCTCATTTGGCCCAATGCTGATTCCAAAAATACTCATCAACACACAACCTACTTTGAAAATACAATGAATTTTAAAGGAAAAATGTTCTTAGATATCAGTTGCTTGCCAAAGATGTGCTGTTTTCATACCCTGTTATGTCAGTATTCAGACAGACCGGTGCAAGTAGCAAAGTCCAAGTCTGATCCAAATATAATCTCAGATGCTGAGTACTGACCAGTTCCTGAACTTTGTTTCAGTCTCATTAAAACAATATGTTTGTGAGGTGCAGGTGTAAAATATATAAAGAACCTTTCTCAGTTTTGAAACACCCTGGTACCAATGACCTGACTTAGGCCCGTTCTTGACTACAAGAAAATCTTATCTATTTGCTAAACGAAATTTGAAATACACTTGTGGGAGGAGGAAGGAAAACAAAAGGAATTGCTGGTGAAAGCAAAAAGGCACAGTGGACTCAGTCTGCTTCCTCATATGTAGTTGCTTGGTGCCATTTGAGCTGTCCTAAGGTTGATGGGACTGCCAAATTTGACATGGGAACTACTGGAGACTCCAGTCTTTTGGAATAGCAGGACACCCTCAGGCAGTGAAGTGACATCAGACACCTATGTTCTGTCAGTTGAGTTGTGACACATGTCAATAAAGTATTAGAAACCAGAAAGAAATTCAGCTGTTTAGTGTAGAGTCCTACTGCAGGATGATGCTGCAGGGCAAGCCGAGAACCTCTCTAGGTTTCACTATATTGACTACATCTTCACTGCACGGGAATTGAGACAGCTACCTCCAGCACAGACACCTAAGCAATGGTGTTGAGTATCACCCCGTGCCCCAGTGTCAACCTCCTTATTTCTATCCCTATAGGTAAGATTAGGATCACAAACCTGAGCTAGGTCCATCAGGTTCCCACAGGTTCTAGAAGAGCCCATATGGATTCCAGGGAGCAAAGGAAATACACATGGAAAACTAACGACATGCATGAGCAAGTGTTGAACAGCTACATTCAGAACCAACATGTAGCAGAAAGTATGTCATTAAAACAAAACAGAGGTGTGCAGATTAGGTTTAGAGGCCAAGGATATGATTAGACAACACATCTCCACTCCTCCCCTCTGCTCTTGACCACACACTTCCACCACTTCCTTCTACTGGTGCTGAAGCTCTTGTGGTAACAGAGGAAGATGATTCACTTCGCTAGCTAGGCACTGTCTTTTACTGAGTTATTTTTCTGCCAACTTAGGCCCACAAGACTGAATCACCAACAGCAGGCACGCAAGACCAGTGTGGGAATTACAGGTGCGGCAGAGGGTCACTAGTCTGGTTTAGTTGAACTTCAATTCAGCTGAATCGAAGCTCCTTTGAAAAGAGTTTTTAAATGACAATAAGTTGCATTACAAGCCAGATCTTCCTCACTTCACCCACAGAGGTCACTGCAATCTTATTAGACAACGACCATTAATAAATACATTACCATTTTCCTTTATACTATTACTATTACAATAGCTGGTTAAAAGAAAACACTTTCCTAGCAGTACTATGATTTTTTTTTTTCCCCAGAAGTGTACATAACTTTTGGCACAGATATTTAAGATGCCCAAAGGGTAGGGAATGAAGTATAACTGAGCTAAGCAAAGTGACTGCGTATGCAGTCTACAAATGTTAGCATCACATCTTCTGCATTGTTTCTTTCTCTTTATCACAGAATCACAGAATGGTAGAGTTTGGAAGGGACCTCTGTGGGTCATCTAGTCCAACCCTCCTGCCGAAGCAGGGTCACCTACAATAGGCTGTAGAGGACCTTGTCCAGGCGGGTCTTGAATATCTCCAGAGAGGGAGACTCCACAACCTCCCTGGGCAGCCTGTTCCAGTGCTCCGTCACCCTCAGAGGGAAGAAGTTCTTCCTCATGTTCAGATGGAACTTCCTGTGCTTCAGTTTGTGCCCATTGCCCCTTGTCCTGTCGCTGGGCACTACTGAAAAGAACTTGGCCCCATCCTCCTGACACCCACCCTTCAGATATTTATAAGCATATATTAGGTCCCCTTGCAGCCTTTTCTTCTTCAGGCTGAACAAGCCCAGCTCCCTCTCCGCTGGACTCTCTCCAGTAGCTCTTCATCCTTCTTGAACTGGGGAGCCCAGAACTGGACACAGTACTCCAGATGAGGCCTCACCAGGGCAGTGTAGAGGGGAAGGAGAACCTCCCTTGTCCTGCTGGCCACACTCTTCTTGATGCACCCCAGGATCCCATTGGCCTTCTTGGCAGCCAGGGCACACTGCTGGCTCATAGTTAACCTGTCGTCCACCAGGACACCCAGGTCCCTCTCTGCTCTCCAGCAGGTCCACCCCAAGCCTGTACTGGTGCATGAGGTTGTTCCTCCCCAGGTGCAGGACCCTGCACTTGCCCTTGTTGAACCTCATCAGGTTCCTCTCTGCCCAGCTTTCCAGCCTATCCAGGTCACGCTGAATGGCAGCACAGCCTTCTGGTGTATCTACCACACCTCCCAGTTTGGTGTCGTCAGCAAACTTGCTGAGGGTACATTCTAACTCTTCATCCAGGTCGTTGATGAAGAAGTTAAACAAGACTGGGCCCAGTACTGACCCCTGAGGGACACCACTTGTCACCAGCCTCCAACTAGACTCAGCGCCGCTGATGACAACCCTCTGAGTTCTGCCATTCAGCCAGTTCTCTATCCACTTCACCGACCACTCATCCAGCCCACACTTCCTGAGCTTCCCTAGGAGGATATCATGGGAGACTGTGTCGAAAGCCTTGCTGAAGTCAAGGTAGATAACATCCACGGCTCTCCCTTCGTCTACCCAGCCAGTCATGTCATCATAGAAAGCTATCAGGTTGGTCAGGCATGATTTCCCCTTGGTGAATCCATGCTGACTACTCCTGATAACCTTCTTTTCTTCCACTTGCTTGATGATGGCCTCCAGGATAAGCTGCTCCATCACCTTTCCTGGGATGGAGGTGAGGCTGACTGGCCTGTAGTTCCCTGGGTCCTCCTTCTTGCCCTTTTTGAAGATTGGAGTGACATTGGCCTTTCTCCAGTCCTGCAGCACCTCTCCTGTCTTCCAGGACCTCTCAAAGATGATGGAGAGTGGCTCAGCAATGACATCCGCCAGCTCCCTTAGCACTCGTGGGTGCATTCCATCGGGGCCCATGGATTTGTGGGCGTTCAGATTACTTAAGCGATCCCTCACACAGTCCTCCTTGACCAAGGGAAAGTCATCCTCTCTGTAGGCTTCCTCTCTTACCTCCGGGGCCTGGGATTCCTGAGGGCCTGCCTTGGCACTGAAGACTGAAGCAAAGAAGGCATTAAGTAGCTCTGCCTTCTCTGCATCCTCTGTCACCAGGACACCCGCCTCATTCAGCAGCGGCCCCACATTGTCCCTAGCCTTCCTTTTGCTGCTGATGTAGTTGAAGAAGCCCTTCTTGTTGTTTTTGACATCCCTTGCCAGCTTCAATTCCAGGTGGGCCTTGACCTTCCTTGTCGCATCCCTGCACGCTCTGACCACATCCCTGGTCTTTATGGAAGAAGGCAAAATTTTTAAGAGACATATGTGAATTGGCTAAGGAGGAAGCCTAACGGTTAGAGAGGCACGAGAAAAAAGGTGGCCTTACTGCTGTCTTCAGCTGCCAAATGGGAGGGCACAGAGATGATGGAGAAAGACTTATCTTTGAGGTGTATAATAATTGGACAGGAGGCAACAGACACAAGTTGCAACAAGAGAAATTCTCATTAGATGTTAGTGAAAAAGTTTGCACTGTAAGAGTGGTCAAACACTGGAGCACATGGTCCAGAAAGGTTGTGGATTCTCTGTCTACAACGTCCTGAGCAACCTGGCCTTGACTGGCTCTGTTTGAGCAGGGTGTGGGATCAGATGACTCCCAGGGGTCCCTTCCAACCCTGTGGGATTCTGCAATCCTCTCATTCCGTGCTAAGAGGGATGGAAGAGAAGAAATGATGGAATGGAAGAAACAGCAAAATGAAGTGATAACTACTGCTTTGGTGCTCTATGAGCAAGCTCTTTCAGACCTTTGGTGATTTGATATGCATCCACACAAAGTGAGAAGGACATAATCCTGCAGGTGAGAATATATTTTATGGCCTATCACCTTAGGCAGAAAACTGTCTGGGTAGGCACATTTAGTCTGCACACTCCATGCCCCCAGACTGCAAATGGTGCAGTGCATGTGGTATGTGAGGGTCAGGGAGCAGGACAGAGGCTGCCACAGTGAAACCCAACGGTGTCTTCAGCTTCAATGCACAAATCTTGGCAGGTCTATCTCTGTCCTACTGGCATACGGGGTGAGATCTAAGGGGACTTTCCAGAGGCTCTTAAATCAATTTGTTACCAAATAGAGGGGAAATTTTGAGTGATTTCCCAAATCGCTTTTGCCAGCTGCCTTAGAGCTCACAAAAATACTTTCCAAAAGGGCATTTGTCTCATTGAATAAGTATTTATAGATATCTAGATACAGTTATTTCGCACACACGTATAATCTACGTACACACATGCAAACAAAAAAGCAGACTCAGACACCTATATCTCAAGCTTCATCAAGACTCAAGAATTTTTAGAAAAATTTCCTTGGGCATATACTATCAGATTTCTTTCAACTCATGTAAGAAAATTAAGTGTTAAGTTCTTTGAAGTAGGCACTGCCATTTCTGATACATTTTTACGTTGCCTACTATGTTCAAGATCCATTTTAGCTGAGATGATGAGGCAATGAGTCTACTACACAGATTTGAAATATTGGAAGCTGATCATTCTGATGTAAATGTCAAGATGGTCAACATAATTTTTAGAAAGGAAATATTAATATTTCCTAGATGTACACTTCTCAGTTGGTACCCTATATCATCTTATTTCTCTCCTTTGTTTATTATTCTGACAAATTATTTGGCTTCAAGTGAAATATACAATAAACTCTGGAGTCCTTCACTTAATTCTGCAAGGGCATTTGATTCTTGTCCACAGGTTCTGTTGAACACTTTAGGAGAATGAAGTTAAAATGTTGGATATGCTCTATTATTCTCTGCAAAAGGACTGGCAAAATTCAACTTCCTACTCTAATCTTCCACGGGTAAATTAGGGATCTTGTAAAAGGCTAACTGTGACATCTCAGTTGGTGTTAGAGATTTCCTGTGCATGGCGTGGCTTTTTTTCCATCTGAATCCACTGAGCATCCTGGTAGCTTTAACAGCCTTTGTATGGGCTCAAAGAGAACAAGGTCATTAAGAGAATTTAATGAAATGGTTACCTCACATGACAAAAGACAGTAGAAAAATTGGAAAAAATTAGCATTATGCAATGTTTCTTACCCCCTGTAGTTTCGTTGTGGACCAGATAACTTCGGTACATCAGTACTATTTCAATCCAGTGCTGGTAAATAAAGGCAGTGCACAAAAGGAATGCAAATAGAGAAGAAATGGTGCTGCACAGTACGTATAAGAGATACACTGTAGAAAGAAAAAGGTCTATCATAACTCAGGCTTTCCAAAATAATGTCGACACTTAGATGAAAAACTCAATCCAGAAATGGGGGCAAACCATCTCACAATCTTCATTCTTGCCCCGCAAGCAAGCTTTAGGGAAGTCAGGAATTCATTTAGCTGCAAACCTTAACATAGAGTTTCAGTCTACCATCAGGGACTTTTTTTGAATGGTATCTCCTTGATGGTATGAAAAGCCAATCTGTGATGGAAGCCACAGAGCAGTCTGTGGTACACTCAGCAGGGCTGAAAGTAGTCATTGCTTGAGATGGAAAAGTCACATCAAAACACACATAGCTGCACACAGTGCCCTGCTGGAGACTTCCTGTGCCACTCCAGTGATGAATCTCCACTGTGAACTATGGTTCAACTGTTTAATTTCCACACTGATTCTGGTTTTGGCCTTTGTTTGAACGGCTGCCACATTCATATCAGTTATGGTAACTTCTGAGAAACATGCATGCTAAGAACTGAAGAAACAAACATAAATGTCCTACGAAAATCAAGGAATACTACTGCTTACAGTAGCTGCTCTGCTTCAGTTTAGTAGATTGCCTATTAATGTTCAGAGATGCTGCTCTCCTCTTCTTCCTCCCAGTTACTCTCCAGCTTCCACTTGGCCCACCTGCCTGTAGTAAGTCCCCGGATACCCCTGTCCTTCTGAGTAGTCCTCAGAATAATGTGCCCTTCTAGACATCTGACAAATAAAACTTTTCCCATTCAGCTTCAGGAAACTTCTGCAGCTGGCTAAAAAGCCAGTGCCAATGGGGAATGACTTTGTAGCAGCGAGTAAATCAAAATGTGTCTTCAAGTCATCCATCGACAGTTTTACCTCTCTGCTTTCTTTTCAGCTGGATCACGGCGGTGGCATTACCCACTGAATTCTCAGCAAAACACGTGAAGTTGCTTCCGAGGTCCCGTTCAGTAACTTCTTTCAGTTTTGCAACATGAAGAAGTATGTGCCCCTTTAAACCTTTTGGATAAACACTAAAGAGAAAAAAATAGGTATTTGCATGCTACCTTTGCTGTTCATTCACACAATCCCCAAATGTCTTAAATAGAAAGAAAGAGGAGCTTGCCACTTCTTAACATTCAGCTTGATCTGTCAACAGTGATGCAACATTCTGGTTTGGAACTTCCATTTGGTTTTCACATTGTTAGAAAATATTAAAATCAAGGGACTGCAGACTGAAAGGTTTATTCTTAACTCATCAACTCAGGAAAATACTTAAGCACTTGCCTAGTTTTAAATATATAGCCCCCTTTGACTTCTATAAGATTATCTGTGCTTTTCCTAAGATGTAAAAATTCCCCAGGCAGAAACGCAGGGAAATGAAACTTCAAAAAGGAGCCCCAAGAGAGAACTAGCTGGGCAAGAAGTCTGAGCAGCACAGCCGCTTGCACAGGGTTAAAAAGCCAAAGGACATGATAGGCAACCAGAATAAGACAGATATGTGACAGATATATGGATGAAAGTATAGGAGATGAAGAAGTAATAGAGGAATCCCTTCAGGGCTGAGTGAGGGTTGTGGGGAACAGATTTGTGCCTGCAGCCACTCAAGAACACCCAGAGTTTCTGAGTGTCAGCATTTCTCTCTGAAAGCCACAAGCACAGGTGTCTCTGGGTGGTCCCGAAGGTGTCTCACACCATGCCACTGCAAAATCAGTCTACCTGGGCCCGACCTCTGCTATTTCAAGATACACAGGCATGACCATGGGCAGGGATTCGACCTGTACTGAAAGTCTGTTGGGAATGTTTTATTCAGTTGGGTTTTATAAAAATAAACAAACAGAAATTGTATGCATGCAAAAAGCTAAAAACTTGGTAAGAAGAACATTACAAAGCTAAAAATTCAAAAGTTAGGAAAATCCAATTTCCAATCTGCCTCACGAGTGAGTGCGTGTGTGTACATGTGTGTGTATAATATCATCATTTATTATTTTTTTCCCATATGACTCCTATTAAGAACTTGGTTTTAGCCATGACAGCAGGGCTTTTGCTTCTCGCATTTTGCTCTCCTCTTACAGAAATTTTTTCCCATAAAGATGACTCAGGGCTGTGTAGTGAAAGACAGGCTTGCCTGTGCTGCTGCTTTGTTTCTTGCAGTTGAACACTGCAGAAATGAGTGAGACAGGGAACTACAGGAAGGAAAGGGAAGGAAGGGAGGTGATTATTTGGGTTGTCCCCAAGTCACAGGAAACTTTTTCCCTAAAAAAATACAAGTTGCTTCTCTGCAGGGTCTGGCTAATTCTTGCCAGGGAAGACACCTGAAATTCAGTGTCCTGAAATTCAGTGCTGCAAGTCCTCAGATTGGCTCAAACACACCCCAGCGTCCAAGGCATCCAAACTCCTTTCTATGTCCACAGTACTGTTCTACTCATCAGATTCATTTCCCACTCAGAGACAGCTTCCAAAGACAGACTGTGTGAGTTGCTAGCGAGGCACAACAGAGAGGACACTCGGAAACAGCTGATGCAGGCACAGGCAACCAAGAACCATTCATGCTGAAGCTGTCCATGAGCTAAAGCTTTACTAAAAAGAGTTAAGATTGCACAGAAATTTCTAGTTCTTGACCTTACGGCCATCAGTCTGTGCTTCTCTATGTGAAGTGCACATGCCTGTCACATGTTCACAGACACACACAGTACCACACTGAAGAACAAAGCCTTCTGAGTCGCTTTCAGTAAAACGTTTTCAGCAAAGCTGTTGTAGAAGGAGTTTTACAGTTGCTGACTGTAGCAGTAATCAGAATACTGGGTTTCTTCTTACCTTGTTTCCTGATTCAATTTCTCGTGTATGTTTTCTTTGTTGTTTCTTTTCCATTTTACCGTCATCTGAGAAGCTCTTTCAAACCCAAACTGTACACGGCATTCCAATTCAAGTGGCTTTCCTGGAACAAATTAGCACAGGAAAACCATGCATGGAGTCCATTAGCCTATTTTGCTCTTAAATAGCCTGGAATCTGTATAACACATGATGCTTCCTTTAATACCCACAAAGATACATATCAAGAAAAAACCCTACATTTTATATAGAGTTCTCATACTCCTAGAGAGCAAAGCTGTTTTGCTTTATCAAGATCTATCATTATCTATCGATACCTCATTTAAACATTTTCTTTCATTTTCAAATGAAGAATCGAAACTTACCAAGCTCTGCTTCAAGGATCACCACACCATTGGGATACAAGAAGTTTGGTGGATGGATAGAGTTTTTTGCTGCAATTAACAGGAATGCTGTTAATAACTATAATGCTGTCATCGGTGCAGAAGACCAGAGAAAATACCTTGCAGAATTTTCTTTTTCAAATGCTAGTGGAATTTGGACACCTAAGTTTACGAGGATGATTTACTGATGTTGAGGTGTCTGAGAGTGCACAGATAAGGGAGTTTTGACCACAAAACTTTTGCATCTACTTAAAGACCTGCTATCTCAGTTACTCTGGGGCATTGCCATCTTACATGAGCTGAGGAGCTCAGCATCCAGCCTGCGCTTAAGGTTATGCAGGATTCAGAAGTCAGAGACCGTCCCCTTGCAAAACCTCCTGAAGGATGCAATCCTCTTACCAGTTCCCTGCCAAGCCTCGTTCTGTGCTCTATAAGCACACATGCAGCACACACACCTCATTCACAAGCACAGCTACTTGCATTAAAATAATCCCTTTTTTTTTTTTTTTTTCCAAAAAAGGGGGCTGCCAAAGGGCACAGATAATGACACCCACAGTTTATACAATCTACTAAGCAATTACCCAGATTCCGGAAAGACAGCCTGAAGGGGCTAAAAGCCACAGTTCTGATATTCTAGGAAAGTCCCCTACTGCAGGAAACAGTGCCACACGGCACCTTTTTTTTTTTTAAAACCAAGCCACAGCAGAGAAATGTATGCAAGATTCAAGGGGAGTATATATGTATATGGCACCTTTCAAGTGTTTTTCTGACTGTGCTGTGAAGTCAGGGAAAAGAACTGAGAAGCACAGTGCATTGGTCAGGTTCAGCCAGATCAGAATAAAAGCAGAGTTGATCCACGCCTGCTTGGGAAATATTGTGGGAATATAGCCAGAAAGAAGAGTGAAAGAGCACCAGGCACTGTAACCCAGCACATAGAGGTCTCAGAAGTTGGTGAGACATGGTTCCAGGCCCTGTTCTGATGAGGTGTATGTATTTTTCTCATGATTGTACCAAATGCATCAAACATCTGCAAAAAAGGGATCAGCTATTTCAGAGGAGTGCTGTCCTCACTAAACCGTAGAATCAGGTTGCCTCACCTGACACCTTTCTTTCTCTCCCTAAACCTTGTTCTTGCTTACACAGAGTGGCCCAGTTTCCACCAGGATGCTGACAGTAGGTCCTGTGCTGTTGTCATATGGAAACAGCTGTGCTGGGTCCATCTGGCTCAGGATACAGAATAGACGTAGCCATGCTTTCCTCTGGGACCTGTGTTTGACTGCAGTGTCTGACAAGTGTGTCTTACAGCACTCAACCAAACATAAAGAGAAAAAAGCATAACCTCTCTTCTAGCGAACCAGAGTCTCCCTCATTCCTGATCCTGATCTGCTAGCATGCTCCCTTGCACAGTGTTGACGTTGTCCAACAGCACTCTGCCAAGCAATATCTGGGCTTCGCCTGAAGGGCAGCAGAGGACAGTAAATATTACGGAAAAGGTCACTGTGATTTGAAGGGGGACATAAGGCCATGCCATATCACTGTGCCATAGAGTTCTGGCCAGTTTTATTTAGTAATCCATACAAAGCCTAAAGGAACAGGTCATGCAGGCAGTGATGCGTTCCCCCAGACAGCACATGCAACAACAGCTTGTTAGTTAGATTGCTCACAGGTCTCCTGTTTCCTCTGCTGTTAAAAACTTGTGTGGAAGATGTGCAGTGATCCCACCAACATCACCTTCCTCATCATTGTCAAGTGAAAAATATGAAGGTCTTGCCCATGCCACAAGGAACAATTTTGTTATCTGTCTCCTACTTTCACATAAGCCTCTTCTTCAGGGACAGAAATAAGACTGAGATACACTGCTTTTGTCCATGTTTTGAGTGCAGAATTAGCTCTCCTTCCTCCTAGTATGCAAATATCTTCCTAACACTCCCCATACAGTACATGGGGAACATTGGCACCAGTTGGAGTTTCATGAATTCTACTCCCAAATCAAGAAACCTAAACCCTTTTGTAGTTCACCAGTATTAGGAACTACAATAAATCCAAGGTGGAATTAGATCTTGAAAATTATGATGTTGTATGCTACATGTTATTCCTGAACATTGAAAGTTCTAGTCAGTGTCCCAAGATGTTCTCAGAATACTTGGAAGAAGAATTTATTGATCATGTAGCTAATTCAGTTTATGAGTTTTTCAGAAGAAGAGCCTGAACAAAAGACATAAATAGGGTAGGAAAGAATAGAGAAAACGTACTTCAGGTATTTCATTCTGAGTTATTAAATTACTTACTAATGACTTCTACTGTTACTGCTGTTCTCATTGTCCACTTGGTAGTGTTGTCATATAGAGTGTAATCACACACATATATTCCAGCATCTTCTTCATAGGTTGGATTCAAGTAGATTGCACTGGGTTTAAGCTTTAGGCTTTGTCTGCTTTTCCTACGTTTTATCTGATGACCATGCTAACGAAAAGAAAAGAATATCAAGGAATTAAAAGTCTTTTTTTTTTTTTTTTTGCTGTTTTTAAACTATATTTTAAGATATTTGAACTGTGGTCTATAATATGTGAATACCATTGTCTTTTTTAAAAAAAATATTTACAATTTGTGATTGCTGAAAGAAATGTGAAATCATGAATGTAACGTAAATTAAACTCCTATCACTAAAGAGCAACAAAAAGGATCACTTTTTTGATGGATGGAGTATTATTTATTTTGTATACAAATTATTTTAAAAACATTTTCACGATCTTCTATGAGAAGTAAATCATGGTTTTGGAATGTCTGAGACTGACAACACTGTCACTAATTTTCAAAGGAAGAAAACTGACTATTTTTTGAAAAGGACCCCTATTTTTCAGCTTAGCATGTTCATGGTGTCTAAGACCAACAAAAATCTTCCTTAATTCAAATTCCTGAAAAAAATCCACTAACACAAAACAGAAAGAATCTCTTTAAATACAGTGGGCTTCAGATCAAGATGTAGGTAAAGACATACATCATTCAAAGAGTAACTTTGAGTAGATCACAATTCTATTTGACAGAATAAATAATGTAAATAGTACCAGGCAGTAAAATGCACAATTGAAATTTCAGTCATTTTCATTTGCTTATTTATACAGGTCTAGATGGTATATTATAATCATTACAAACACAATAGGAATCAGTTTTAGTTTGTAAGTATTTTAGTGGTCATTTGAAAAACAGTAAGTCAATAAAGTTTGGGTGGAGTAGTGTTTCATTAAAAACAGGATCTTGGAAAGAACAATCTGAAACATTAATCTTAAAGAATTTTGTTTCTAACAAGGCAACTTTTTCTTTGGTATGTTTGATATTTTCTGAATTGAAAATGTCAAAACAAAACTTAAAATTTTAAATTTCAATCATATATCAGTTTTTTAAAGGACCTATTTTGATTCTCAATTACTTCAATTTCTTAGCTGAAGAGAAAGCATTTCTGGTCATGGAATATTATTATGGTTGTGGCAAATTTTTTCCAAACTCTTCCTTACAGACTCAACATATAACAATTCAGTATTCCAGTTTTGGACTGAATTTCTCAGGTTGCATTGTCTGCCAAAGGAAGAGTTCAAGAACCTACAGGACATGAGCATTAATTAGACCTAAAGCTATACCTCCACTAAGCTTTTTCAAATTCTCAAGACAGTGACTCTTACCTTGTACCATTTTACATCTGGCTTTTCTATATCGCTGTAGCATTTTGTCCCAGGACAAGTTATTGAATTCCCATTGCCAGCAAGAAGATACAGCGTATTTGTGTCATAACCTGAACATTTTGCTGCCTTCTTTGTTTGCACCTCCAGAACAATTTTGAGACATGGGATTTTTCCCCTGAGTGATGCAGAAAAAAAAAGTTAAACATTTAGTACACAAAATAAAGCCATTAAATTCTTATAGAAATATGATCCTTTTACTCCATTACATACCATATCATACAGATGTACTCTCCGGAAGCACTGTCCCTTACTGGTTTAAACCAAAGTGCATCCCCTTGGAGAACAAGATTAGAGCTTTCCTTTATAGCCTTCAGCGACTCTTTATCTTTCTGATGCCAGAACCATTTCACCTGATGTTGTTTTAGAAGTGAGTTGTTATAAATGTGGACAGCATTTCTATCTGGTAAAGCGCATTGTAAAACAAACTCCTCGTCACTAATTGCACGATACCATATTTGAGGTTCATCATGGGAACATCCTGAAAAGCAGGAAAATAAGATATCAGTATGACCTGAGAGAACACACAGTCATCACGTTTAAAAAAATAATTAGGAATACTACAAAAATGCAACTTTACTTTCCTTTCTGTTAAAAAATTTTTTATGTGACCGGATGCTGGGTTAATAGAGAATTGATTTCATTAAGCATGGAATTTGCCAGTGTGCTCCAAAGTTTATTCAAAGGTTTCCACAGGTTTATTAGGCCTTTTTAAAAAACTCTAATGTGAAAATGTCTTCAGATTTTAGTGAACTGAAGATTGTCATATGGGTGCTAACCTGTTAAACCCCAACTCTGTAAAAAAGCAGTCGCAGCTCTTCTAGCTCTCTTCATATTAACAGAGAAGGGACTGAGATAAACCTGCAGAAGCAGAGCCTTCCCACCACCCTCCCTATTTAGGGTAAGATTGACAAGCATTATTGTCTCACTGCTTTCAAATCTTACCCCTCTTGTGTTTCAGTTACTGTCACTAAAACTAAACAAATTTTTCAATTCTGAAAGCTGTGGTCACCCACCCTAACCCCGAATTCTCTGAAGCCTGACCGACCTTGCTGTGTAACCCCTTCTGCTAGTCAGGATGTGGTAACCCTTGAAAGTATGGCAGGATTTCGTTTCAACAGAAGAGAGGGCATAAAATCTTTGGTTCCTCGCCTGCCCACCTGGGAGACTCTTCACAGTTTCAGTTTCCCTCTGCGAACTGAATTGGAACAAGCTCCTCCAGATAGACTGTGTGGGTGGAAGACGTTGATATATAGGTCTCACCATGCCTTTCCCTTCTTTCTACCCCCCCGACAGGCTTGGACCAGCTACTTCAAGGAGTCACAGACGCACTTCATTTGCTCCATTCAGTTCTCAGAAATTCTCCTTTACATTTGCCATTTTCTTTTCATTAAGAAATTGAATTTCGAATCATATTTAGGGTAAACTGTATTTCCAATACTTAAAAAGCTTGTAGAAAGGCTAGAAACAGCTGTTTGCCTGACACAAGCGTGAACAGGTGCAGGAAAAACTCATGAAGTCATGGCAAAACGCAGATCCACATTTCTCAGCTGTCAGAACGCACCATGAACACCAAACCTCACCAAAGCAGACTCTTACCTGGCAGGTTTATCTCTCTAACCTCTGCCCCACTGACAAACAATGCTAGGATCCAGCACAAAGTAAGCATGATGTTCTTTATCAATTTTGGTTGATATTCTGAGGCATTTACTGTAAGAATCATCTTGCTTTCTGTAAAAGAGGAAAACAGATATTTTTTTGTAAATAACACTCCAGTAAGATAGATGGGCAATGAAACATTTTATTGTGTAGCTCTGTAAAACTTAGCAGACAATATTTCCTAGATATTGTGCTTTTTAAAAACAGGGTTTGCAGCACTTCTCCTGCTCATACTATTGCATACAAATGCAGGATAGATGGTATTCAAGAATGTCACAGAATCCTGGAATGGTTTGTGTTGGAAGGGACTTTAAATATCATCTAGTTTCAACCCCCCTGCCACGGGCAGTGACCCCTCCCACTAAACCAGGTTGCTCAAAGCCCCATCCAACTTGGTCTTGAACACCTCCAGGGATGGGGCATCCACAGCTTCTCTGAGCAACCTGTTTCAGTGCATCACCACTCTCGTAGTACAGAATTTCTGTATATGCAACAGTGCCTTTAAATACAGCTGGCATAGAGTTGCTTACAGATGCATTTCCGTGTTATACCTACAGCAATGCAGAACTCCACATCTGGAGTGGAAATGCAGGTCTTTCAGCAGCTGTTGCTGTTAGAAGAGCAACCTGTCCTCTAAGATGAGAGATATCGACTAACAAAATCGGCTTTTAGCTAATAAGAACTATCAGCAACAGACTGAGAAAGGCATAAGTGGCACCAAAATCCATGGACCTTTGCTGTATTTTGAGGGCCAACAAGCCCAGAGTGTGTAAACTGGATTCCTGTGGGATTAAACCAAATATGAAGATGTGCTGCAACTGCTAATGGCATTGACTCCACAGGACTGGAGTAGAACTATGCAGAAGTAAAAACTCCACAGCATGTGCTGTGTGGACAACTAAAGGGTTCTAACTCTTTCACCCAAGAGACATGCTCCTATCAGGCTTTATTACCAGCTAAAACAGACATACCCGAAGCTGTCTGTTAGGTTCA